TTTCTTTTCCATTCCTTCAGTCCCAGGATGAACGGAATTATGGTTTGGGCATGGATGCCCTGGTATAATCGTACTCACTCCAAGATGAACGGAATTATGGTTTGGGCATGGATGCTCTGGTGATCGCACTCACTGTTCGAACAAGGAAACCCGCTAAAAGTCCGAAAAGTGCACGAAAACACACGGGCGGCTGTGCACCGCTCTCCAACTACAAAAGCAGCACACGTCCTCCTCCTGCTCCCCCTCCTACCATTATTCTTGCTATTACTCCTGCTGCTGCTGCTACTACTACTACTACTACTACTATACTACTACTATACTACTACTACTACTACTACTACGACGACTACTAAGACTACTACGACGACGACGACGTATCGGTTACGTTTATGACGGTGTGGTTTTCTCCACTTCACCTTGTTAAATGTCGAGTTTCAAACGAGTTTTGAGCAAAGTCCCCCTCGCAGATTTTCGCTTGATCCATTAGTCCAAGGTTCGCTCCACCAGTCCGAGGGTGTGAGGAGTTCTGATGTGATTTTATCATCGCCCCTCAGTCCAAGCATAGCGGTTTTTCTTCGTTGCCTTTCCATACGGCCACGGGTTGACAAACTTATTCCTAAATAGCTTCGTCTGCGCAACTGCTCTAAAAGTACAGGGCATATGAGCATAGCGGCTTTTCTTCGGTGTCTTGACAAAAGCCCACGGGTTCACAAACCTATTCCAAAATAGTTTCAGCCCCGCCAGCGCCAGAAAAATCAAGAGCATCATCAGCAAGAAAAATGTAGGGCCAGGATGCGGAAATGTCTAACCTTCCGAGAAAATAACCCAGTTGCCGCTGCGATTCTGAGCTTAGCTTTCAGATTTAGGGTTTAGGGTTCAGGGCTTAGGGTGGCCGAGATGCTTCACTGCTTGGATCCTGGAACATGAACAATACTAGTACCACATTATGGCCGAAGACAATACAAGTTCATGAACATGTCCAAAATAGCCCCCGAAATCCGCGAGGGCAAGTGCAAAGTAGAAATACCGTGAACTACTGCGAACGCGACCGGCGAGCACGAGTACTCCTTCCTCTACGACTGCGAACACTACTGTAAAAAGCAGTACTTGGCTCGGCCATGTACATCCCCCGCCGGCGTTCTAGAAATCCCAGTTGGGTCTCCACTCAAAGCCTTTCCAGCATTTGACCTTGAGAGTTGTAGTCTGTGAGACATGCTGCTTCTATATTTAAGTACATGTACCAAACTTTGCAGCACTATCGAGGTCAAAACGTGGAAGTGAGAGACACATGAAGGCAGCAATAACATGGATGTGAAAATCATCGGGATGCAAGGGAATGGAAGAAGTTCAATCATTGATGTTAGCATCTTGATCAGCCAAATGCAAAGCAAACAAAATGAAAGTGATACTCGAACATCTCTAACCAAGTAGAGCTCACGGTTTGTCGTGATGTAGGCCAGAATGCAATTCTTCAAGATGTGTTTCCGAAGTGTGTCTGACATCGAATGCAACTCATGAAAACTAGAGAACATGAATGCATTCTATCATGGATGTGAAGATCTTGCTCATCCGGATGCAGGTAATGGATGCATTACTATCTTGGATATCAACATCTTGGTCATCCAGATACAGAAGCCAACAAACATGGACATCTAGCAAGCAGCCCAGGAATTCTATACGTGTTTAACATGTGTTCAGCTAAACTGTGCATAAAACATATAAAGCCCAGGCAGAAATCTGAAGATAGAAATTTTCTTGGCTGGAAGGCAAAAAAAAGGACTGCCTTCTCTTACATGTCGGCTCACGGGCTCACATGGGGCTCACGGGTCCTGGTCTCCGAGGCCAAGGCTCCGTCTCCTCGATGAGAAACCGCGCCTCTCGGAGCCGGAAGAAGCTGTGGAAAGTCAAAAGCAGCAAAAGCTGACAATTCTCGAGAATTTTGATGAATTTTGTGAATGCTCAGGTCAAGCTCTGCTTGGCCCCAGGCCCACTCTGGCGCGCAGTAGCAAGGAGAAAAGGAAATGGAGGAATCCTGAAAGGCGCACTTCGCCAAGGGCAGATAAGGGCAGATAAGGGCAGGCTGCTGCAGGCTGCTGCAGGCTGCTCCAGGCTCCCGGGCCTGGATGCTCACCTCGCTGCCGCAGGGCACGCAGCCGTCTACGTCGATGAGCTTCAGACGCCCTGCAGCGGAGCGCAGCGCGAAGCCGCGAAGCTGGACGCTAAACGAAAGTGAAAGAAGCCGGCCGTTGAACATCATCAAGTTCTCTGGCTTCAGGTCCAGGTGCACGAGCCTTGGCAGAGGGACTCCGCAGAATTCTCCAAGCGTAAGGAGCTGCATGGCTTTGGCCCTAACCCTTTGGCGTGCAGACCTGCCACCACCAGAATGATGGCCTGAAAAACATCCAAGCGAGGCGAATTCACTTAAACTTATCACGTTTCTCACCTTGCTGATGTTCTTCACCGCTCCTCGCCTGAAGCCGCTCTGAGCTCGAACGGTAGAGGCTTGGCTCGCTTGCTCTCTTGGCATCCGGCGATAAGCTCTTTCCCTGGTCCCTTCGAAGCGCCAGGTAGTCCTTCAAACTATACCTCGCAACAGCAATCTTTTTTAGCTCTGCTGCGTTCAAGGTCAGAGCCCCAGGCTGAGCAAGCTCGGTGATCACATACATGACTCCATCCTTACCAGTGTCAACTATCCGACAAATTATCTGGAAACTCCTAGGCTCATGTCGCAAGCCCGTGACCGTAGGATCAGGGGCAGGATTTCCACCTCATTAAACTCACTTCAACACAATACTGAACTCCCTAAGAGTCGAGCTGTCTTGGGCCGTAACCCTTGTCCTTGCTGTAGTCCAAAAGTGACATGAAAAGTTTCGAGGGCTTCGTCTGCCAGGCTCTGACGCTCTGACAGGATTTTTCTCTTCTGTGAATGCATTTCCCAAGCCCCACCGCTGCCAGCTGCGGATGCCAAAGCGTTTCGTCAGGCCTGGAAAGAGACGTTTGCTTGCAACTTTGTTGACTCGATCCCGAATCTTGGGCCCCGGACACGGTACCGAAGGGCTCCTGCAGCATCTTCAAGACGCTGATTTGCCTCCCAAGGCAAACACGTCAGCATGTCTGCATTGACCCGAGGAATGTCGGAATGGGCCTCCGGAACTTCTGGAGCCGGACGTCCTCGCCCTTGTGGCTTTCCTTCAAGGCCTGAAGAGACCCCGAACTCGAAGGGAAACAGCATTCGCAGAACTGTATTCCAATTCCAACGTGTATATAATATGTATATATATATATATGCATGAGAGAGTCGCCTTCAGGGTCTATTTGTCCACTTCTGTTTTCTTGTATATAAAGCATGTATTGAAATATTTTACTTAGTTTAATTACTTGAACTCTTTAAATTATTCAAATCACGAATTCACGTAAACTAATTAACTAATTCATTAATTGCATCAATTTAATTCATCCAAATGAATAACCAACTTTAAAAAAAGAAAATGATTACATTAAGAAAAATACGTAAAAATACATCGAGTAAAAACATTAATCAATTAAATTAATCTATCAAATAATTTAAACAATTTGCTTGGTTAAATTATGTAAATATGTTAATTAGCGATTTGAATAATTAAATTCATGAAATTAATTGCATTATCTAATTAACTTACTGAAATCAGTAAATTAAGTACATTCAGTAATTTTAATACATTAACAGTTTAATGAACTGGTTATATTGCAATCACGTACGTTATTAAACTATTCACGTAATTTATGTAATGTAATTAATTTACGATTTTAGTAACTTCAATGAATTCAATTCATTTAATTAATGTACGAGCGCACGTCGTTTCGTA